ATCTATTTTATATGTTATACGAATAAATTATTATTATTATTTGAAAAAAGGAAGTATTGCAATTTTAATACTATTACATTCTTTGTACATGAGGCTTTACAAGTATTAATTTTTAAAATTTTCTTCAATACTTTTCCATTTGTTGAGAAATCATTGAAGCCCTAATACTTTTCAATAATTTGTTGAGAAATCATTGAAGTCCTAATACTTGTCAATAATTTCTAATAAATACAGTATAACGTATCTTCAAGTATCATTCATCGTTGCAATACATTTTCAGGCTGCGTTCGGGGAGACGCTATTAGCGCTGAAAACGTCAGTCTATCTTCGTCACTCACTGTACGTCGAACAAAGATAGAAGACGCTTTTAGCGCTGAAAGCGCGCTCCCCGAACGCACCTTCAGTAGGCAGTTAGCAACATAATCCGTTCAAATTTTCTATTTCCTAGTTACTTTTAGTGGTGGTACTACTGCTTACACAATTCGACGTGACGGCAAGAGAGAGAAACGAATTTAGAGAAAGAAAGAACACCAATTGAGCACACCATGTAATCCTTACACTATGGTCCCAGCTCTCCAGATCTCTCCAGAATTCTCTGTCTTTATTATTCAGACCTGCTACGTTCCAAAATGCTATTTTTATGCTCTCTCCCTCTTCACTTCTAATCCTGTCTACTTCCTCCTCTTCCCCCTTACCTTTCTCTATTTCTTGCTCCTCCTCCTCCCTGGCTCCTCTTTGTATCTTCTTCACTCTATCTCTTACCTCCCTTCTCTCCTCTTCTTCCACTCTCCCCCCTCTTTCCTTTCTTTCTTTACCTCTATTGTATCTCCTCCCCTCTCCTCCTTTCTTCATCCTCTCTGTCTCGTATCTCCTCTTCTCTTCCTCTCTCTCCCCCCTTAACTCATTTCTTCGCCCCCCTTCTCTTTCCATACCATCCCTTCTCGGTCCTTTAATACTTCTTCTTCCTCATCCCACCTCCACCATATCCCTTCTATCCGTCCGTATCTTAGCCACACTCTTCTACCATTTTCTTTTTCCTTTCTTGCTATCTCTTCCAATTTCCATCTCATCCTTCTTTGCTTCCACGTTAGATCATCTTCGATTCTTATTCCCTTTTCTCCTATCTTTCTTCTTTCTCTCATCAGTCTCTTCTTCTTCTCCAATTCTTCTATCCTTACCACTGCTAATTTTACTTCTCCTTCTTTTCCTTCTTCTATCCTTTTGATTTCCGACCCTTCCTCTCTTATTCCATTATCTTTCATTATTCTCTTAATCTCTGCCTCTACTTTCTCCTTTCTGCCTCTTATCCCTCTTACTACTATATTCTTCCTTCTCTTTTCTCTCTCCACCCTTTCCAGTCTTATCTCTATACCTCTCATCTTCCCTTCCATCCTCTTCACCTCTTCGTTTACTTCTCCTCCGTTTCCATTCGATCCTTGGACCTTCGCCTGCATCTCTTCCATTTTTGTCTCTATCCTTTCTATGTGCTTCTTCATCTCCTCTTTCTCCTCCATCCACCTCTTCATTCGATCTCTCCCTTCTCTTATTATTTCCTCTCTTTCTTCTCTTGCCTTCCTCTCCCTCTCTCTAAATTCTTCTTTCAACTCTTCTATCATCTTTCTGCTATCTTCCCTTACCTCCCTCCTCAGCTCCTTCATCATCTCCCTTAACACTTCCTCTAAACCATTCTCTCCTTCCCCTACCCTCTCCTTCGGCAATCTCACTGTTTTCCTACTCTTCCTGAATATATCCTCCCCTCCACTACTATCTAACTCCGCTCTCTTCCTTTTCCATATTTCCTCTAATGTTCCTGTACTCCCGCTTCTTCCCTTTTCTTTTATTCTCTTTATTCTCTCTAATTCTATTCTATCTTCCTGACTCTCCCCGCCTTTATCTTCCATTTCTAGGTCCCCTCCCTATTCCTTCTCTACTCTTACTCTATGGCCCGCCTGTACTACCCGTTCTCCCTATCCAGTTTCCCTTCTGCGCTCTTCCTATTCTATGCCTTCCGGCGCTCGCGCCCGCCGCCGCTCCTACCACTCCCACTACCTCTCTCTGCGTTTCTTGTTCCGTGCCCTAACCTGTCTCCTTTCGTTCTCTCCTATCTTCTCTTCTCCCGAATCCCTTTCTATCCGCCCTTTATCTCCCTCCTCTCCCTTCGTCCCTCTCCCTTCACACTCTCACCTCCACTCACTCTCGCTCTCACCTCGCTCCTCTCACTCTCTCTCTCGCCTTCACAAATCTCGCTCTATTCTCGCACGTGTCACTCTCGATCACACCGGAAACGGAAGTCCCACCTCATCATGTACTAAACATGATTTCTTGGCCGATGATGACACTGTTAAAATATTAGTATCACTGATTGCAATACAGTTTGCTTGCGCTGATGACATGATTTGACTTCGTTATGATGAAGCAATCTTTTGTATGCCGATGCAAATTGTATGGAGTTCGGGTTATTATTATATCCTCCCATGGATCGTATGCATGAGAAAAAAATCTCCAAATGATCTTGCGATATTGAGAATCGCCCTCTTCGGATATCGCGCTCTTGAGCGATGCGCCAACGGCTACGTTTTTCATGCACGTCACGCCTAGGGACTTATTCATCATTATATTTATTTTGTTTCATCGAGGCGTCCCTCTTTTTCTCTTACTTATTCTGTGCTTGTACTAACGAAGTAACGCCTGTATCGTTAACCAGAATATAATTCAGTGTTCTACGAATAATCCTACTATTCACTGCCCTTCCAGTCCTCTACGAATCAATAGGCTATGGGCCCAGACCAAAAACGGTAAAAAGTAGACGGACATACGGTCCACTGCGCGGAAAATATCTCGGAATCAAAAACGAGGTTAGAATCGACACGAGTCACACGCAATCATGGCCGGAATGAACACTGTGAGGATCAAGCAACTGAATCGAGAAAACGATACGTGGAAGATTCAGATGCAAGCAATCCTGATAAAAAGCGAGGTATGGGGATATGTAAACGGACAAAAACCGAAGCCGGAAATCATCGCCGACAACGCTCAATCACTGGTAGAGGCTAGAAAATGGGAAGCCGAAGACGAGAAGGCGAAGGCCGAAATTATCCTGTGGATTAAACCATCTGAATTGAAGCAAATAAAAGGCTGCAACACGTCACAAAAACTATGGACGAAACTACAGGCGATCTACCAATCAACCGGACCCGCCAGAAAATCAACATTGATTAAGTAACTCACATACCACCGAATGCACGAAGGAGAAGACGTACGGTAACACATACTGTCCTTTTTCGACACTGTGGACAAATTAAATGAAATGGATATTCAAATTAACCCGGATCTACTATCGGTAATGTTATTACATAGCCTACCCTCGTCATTTGCTAACTTTCGCTGCGCTATCGAATCTAGAGACGTACTGCCCTCACCGGAAACCCTTCGGATCAAAATAATGGAGGAAAACGATGCAAGAAAGAGCGACGAAAGAGAGAGCAGGTCGACAGCAATGTTCGCCAAGAAATACTTCAACAAGAAGAAGCCCACCAGAGGAAAAAGTGACAACGGAGGAAAGAACGAGGCAAATACCTCAAACTCACAAAAGAAAGAACCATTTAAATACATATGCCATAGATGTCGGAAGCCGAGTCACAAAGCTTCTGATTGCATGAAGATCAAAAATTCAGAGGACGCCAAAACGGCGGAAGACCTTTGTCTTTGCGCAAGCTCCGACGAACAGCCGAAACGTCGAGAAACGGGATCCAAGTCCGAGGAAACACGAAGTCAACGACCATTTTTTTTTGTTGACCCGGGGGAATCCTTTATGGATCATCACCCGCCCCCCCTGGAGAGAGGGACGGGTGGTATGTGGGACTGACCTCCCTGGCCCCTGGGCCTTAACAGCCCACGGGGCCAGAAGTGCAATGGAGGCCATACCGCACTAAACCCACCGGGGGTGGCCGCCTAGGCGCTCTATGGGGGTCATCCGGGGACTACTACGCAAAGCTCCAGATGACCCCCGCACACGCGTAATGTCGCGCACTCCTCTGGCCATTTTTTCTGGCCCTGGCCCTGAAAAGGGCCGACTCCTTCACCGCGGCGAGGGTGCCACCAGCCCCTCGCCGCTCCCCCTAGTTGCTTGCGGGGGAGGGCGGGCGTGGGTCTCCAGCCCACGCCCGCCCGCCAGGGGTCCTTACGGACTTCCCGGCTAGTCTCCTTTTAGTCGCCTTTTACGACAGGCAGGAGATACCCCATGCCTATTCTTACGGCGGGACCTGGACGCCAAAATTACCCCCTTGACACCACGTCACACTAGGTGTGTTGAGGGTGGAGAAGGGTGCCTCCCTCTCCGCCTTTACTCCAATGGGGAGACCTCCATTAAGTCATCCCCAGTGCCGGCATCGTCCCCTTCCCCAGACTTCAAACGTCTAATGGGGAGTCGCAGTGCTGACGCCGGCACCTCCTTCCTGGGGGACAACACCAGTGTGTCCCCCGACGAGGAGTCCGACTCTAAAGAGTCGGGCTCCCTGTCCCTCTTCCCCCCTATGGGGGGTCGTACTGGGGGGCGAGTCAAGTCCCCCCTGGGCCTCGGCCCTTTAGGGGGGGGAGTCTTCCCGCACCCCTCTCCGCCCAGCCTATGTTTCGCGGGGATGCCCAAGTCCGCACAGAGCGGACAATTGAGCTCACCCGCACAGCTCTTCGCGGTGTGTCCCGCAAGACCACAGCGGTAACACCGCCTGCTGCGGTCAACACCGCTGGTGCACCGCTGCCCAAGGTGCCCCTCCTCAAGGCAGCAGTAGCACCTCTGGGGGCGGGGTTTCGCCGGCCGGACAATCGCCCAGACGAAACCCGCCCTCACTCTCCCCTTCGTGGCAATCACACGTGCGGCATCGGCAGGACATCGCACGTATGCCACGCCCATCTGCCTGCCGGGGTAGCGAGGCAGCATTTGCACGCTAACCTCCCCCGGACTGCATACCGCCTCTTCCGAGATGGCCTTAATTAGGTCCTCCTCAGAGACCGTATCGTCCAGGCCCGACACCCGCACCTCCGCGGTTTTGCCTGGCCTGGACACTTTGGCCCCAGTGCCCCTTAGGGCTCCCTCTAGTTCTCTAGCGAGGGTATCCGCCCCCCTCGCTCGGTCATCGCCCGGGACCTCCAGTAGGAGGCCCCCATTGGCGGCTCTCCTCATCGTCACGTCCGCCATCCCCAGGTCGTCGAGAGACACCTTCTCTCTTGCGGCCCGGAGGACGGCGGCGTACGACTCTTTTGTCCCGTTGGGGACAGTAATGGCGACAGCAGCCGTCTGCCGAGGGCTGCGCGGGGGTTTTGCAGCTGCCCTGCTGCCTCCCGCCGGAAGACGTCCTGCCTGCCTACTCCTCTCCGGCTTCTTTATAGTCGGAAGGGCCGGAGTTTGCTTCCTGCCCTTATCCATCTCGTTCGCCTCCGTTTTCTTCTTAGGAGGCAACCCTCCTCGGCTTCCTTGGGCGGCAGTGCCGTCAAGCCGCCTCTCAAGGACCTCCAAGCGTCTGTCGAGGGTGCCCATGGTTCGGGAGATCTCAAACCTGAGGCCTCTCGCCCAATTCGGCATCCCCGCCTCCTCTTCGCGTCGCGTCCTCGGAAGAGTACCCTCGGTGTTAGGGGCACTCTCCATCTCCGTCTGCGTGGACACCCCCCTCGTGGCGGGCTTCGCCTTCGCCACGGGGGGGAAGTCCCTCTGGACCTCCGTCAGTCGGGCCGCCAACTGCTCTACTCTCTCTTCCAGGGCCCTCCGTTCTTCCTCATTCCTCTGCCTGGCCTCGAGGTCGGCCGTCCGGCTTTCCTCGAAGCCCGCCAAGGCCTCCTTGAGGAGATTCTTCAGCTTGACGGTCTCCTCCTCGAGAATTTCCTCCCGTTCCCGTGAGGCCGCCAGCTCTCCAGCCAGGTGGAATGCTCCGACACACACCTCCTTGGCGAAGGTGTTCAGCTCCTCCCTCTCCTCCTCCGGCATTTGCCGCCACCACTCCTCGTTCGCCTCCACCAGGGAGTAGCTACGCCAATCTTCAGCCGAGGCAAGAAGCTTACCTCCAGCTTCGAAGGGGGTGAGAGTCTGCCAATTCAGCAGATCGCTCTCGAACCCCTCTCTCCCCTCCTGCTTGGAGGTGTGTGCCTCCATGTAGAGTAACCACCACGCGGTCCAATCCTCCCTGTCCCTCCTTTCATCCTCCGAGAGGATCCGATCGGCCTCCTTCCAACCTACCTCGGCCGTCTTCCCACTCTCGACTGCGCCCCCTCTCCCTCCTCCCCCCGCTGAGGTCGAGGGTTTGGGGTCCTTCTTCTCCGTTACTTTGTTAATGGTCGCCATCTCGGTCTCATCCCACTAACTCCTGCGGCTGCCCCAGCCAGGGCATGCCCCCCTCCCAGACTTGGGAGGCCCCGAGTTCACCCGGGGAGCTGGGATATGGCACGGGTCGGCGGGAAAACGCGCACACCGACACTGGCCTCCAGCCCCCTACTCACCACTCCAAAGAGTGGCTTTCAGGGGTCCCGAAGCTCCGACCCCTCGGGCACCGCAGGAGTGCCGCCACGCGGGGGGCCCCGCGGACGGATGGGGTGTCGGGGGAGGCCCGTCCCCCTCCACCTTGCCCGCCGCGGCGACCGGCAACACACTTCTCGCGCCGGGACAGGCCCTCGCCAGAACGCAAGGGGCCTTGCAAGAACCTCCCCGGCTAGGGACAACTAGGGACGTGACCCCCTAGAAGGCCCCATCGTCCGTGGGACTGCCGCCGCAAGCCAGGGGAGAAAGACACCCCCGACCCCAGCGACAGCCCCCCGCCTCCGACCCCCCGGACCCCGCCAGGGAGTACGTCCCAGCGGCTCCGGAGGGCTCCGGGCCACCGAGCCCCGCCTCGGAAACGTCCGAGCGGCCCCGGCA